TCGTATGGCAGTAGCTCAGGCTAATAGAACAGAGATCTTGGAAATATATGCAAATGTATGTAACCCTTATTGTGAAAGAGAAGATATTAGTGGGAGGTATCAGTGGGCGACATTGTATGGGGAAAGAAAAAAAATTAGCTTCCTTACCTCATTCCATATATAAAGTTAAAATCCAGTTAGATTAGTAAAGCCTTAAATGTAGTAACATAAAATTTAAACCCTATTGTATCTGCGTATGAATTTTTTGAGAAACTCACAAAATGTAAGTGAAGGCCATAAAAGGCTTAAGTAAATGGCGGGAAAACTCAATACCACAAAGAGTAAATCTTTCCAAGAAGTGTTTTTCCAGGTTTGAAGTTCACCTGCATCAAAATTACCTAGAGTACTTTTTAAAATGTAGACTCTTAGGCTCCATTTCCAACGGCTGACTCCACATCCTCCAGCTGAGGATGAAGCCCTGGAGTCTGCATTTAGAAAGCTCTCCAAAGGATTCTCTTGTGTACTAACCTTTCTGAACCTTTGCTGTAGGGAAGAAGGTCCTAACCTGAATTGCCCAGGAGAATCACCTGGGAAAGTTTTTTTTTTTAATTTTTAATTTTTTTTTTAAATTTTATTCAAATGCCCGAGCCACATCCCATAACAACTGAATCAGAATTTCTGGGAAGGATACCTGTGCATCAACATTCTAAAAGTTCTGCCAAGATTCCAATGTGCAGCCCACTCTGGATGAGAGTGCCTCTAGAATTAGGTCTGTAAGGTTTGCTGCCCTTCCTTAATTTGAACATTACTCCTAGCGCTAACCTAGTAGGAACTGGGCTTTATTTTGATTAAGGAAACACAGTTTCCTTCTATAAGGGTTATGACATTCACTCGGTATCCCCAGCATCCTGTCTTGATACCCAGCAGGGGCTTGGTGGTCATTTTCTGAAATAAATTCAACTAAGTGAAACAGAATGAAATGAATCAATATGTAGTTGAATAGAATTTTCACCAAATGCCACTGGGTTCAACAAACCTATATAGCACCTGGCACAATGTTATGCTATGAGAGCTATAGAGATGAACAAAATATACTTCTTCCCTTCAGTTGTTCATGATCTGATGGGGGAGGCAGAAATAGGCTAACGTATTTTACAGTCGAGCAGACAATGAGAAGTGTACAGAATATAAAAAAGGGAATAAAAAATTGGTTCTTAATGACAGAATCTGGAAGGCATCATTGAAGAGTGGCCTTGAAGTATGCCCAGGAAGAAATTCGGAAAATGGGCAGTTGTGCTATAGGCATAGGGAATTCTGCACAGCATAAGCCGAGTCAGGCGGGCCTTTCTCTAACCTTCATGGAAGACGGTAGGGCAGATATCAAAGGCTTCCTTTCTTTCTGATTTCCTTGTGACCACTCTCGTTTTTCAAGTATTTTGCCTCTAGTTTATTAAATCTACCTCCTGGTGCCTCAGCTGATTTCTTCCAGGAAAAGTTTTCATTAGCATTTCTATGGGGAGCACCTGCTACCCCATCTATCCCTATTAACTGAAGGCTGGGGCAATGGGCTGTTAAGAGGGGAATTTTAATCCCCTCCTGACTCATCTGTTTTCTAATTTAGAATGTTAGGTCCAAAATCACAAATGGCTGACCAGTGAAAACCACCCTTAACATTAAAAATGATAAAAGACATGCTTCTCAATTTTATATCTTTAACATTAAAAACGATAACAAATGAGTGCTTCTCAATTTTATATCTATGTAAAATTAATGTATTAAAATCAATCAACTTCATGAATTATTTAGAATCATAATTCTACAGATACCTTAGATACCATATGAATGCAAAAAAAAAATCAGGCTACTGTGGGTAGCTTATGAATTAGATGAACTGTTAAATAGGGAAGGTTTCTTAAAACCACAGCATCAAAGGACATTTGATATTATCTGCTGAATATATATTGTAGGGTAAAACTAATTATTGTAATATGTATATGACTCTATGTATATTTTGCATTATATACCAATATATTAAGCTGACGGATTATGTGTTCTTTATTTAAGCAAACTGCTTCCACTGATGTCATGTGACAGATGTGCTTTGTAAAGCCCATGAGATAAGCCAGTCACCATGGTGTAAACCACCATGATTTATGTAGAGTTGCAGAAGAAAAGGGTTTGTGAATCAAATTACCATTGAAATGGAGTCCAACTTGGCTTCTAAGGCAAGGTAAGCCTCCTTTACAGCAGACACAGGACATATTTAAACTCAGCAGATATCGGAACCATACCAAAGAAAAGAATGTGAGACAATTGGGAAGGAAAATCAATGTTCCAGATAAGCCTACAATTTCCAGGCATTTTTTTTCTTTTAGTATCTTTAATTAATTGATTATCTTATTTTTCATATCTACTTCCACCCAAAGTGCATTTCCCTATTATTGGTTTATTTCTCCTCTGGAACAAAAAATAATATTAAATTTCACATCAAATTTGTCATGCAGTTAAGTTGTTCCTTAGAGAAACTGATCTCTTATCAACACTCATTCTGATTCAAAACCATTCTGATTATCCAGCAAAATGGACATGCTGCCCAGAATCATATGCATAATTAAATATTACGGAAGATGCAAATCAGAAAAAAAAATTTTTGAGGTGCTCAGATTTTTTTGTGTGATAACCATCACAAATAAGCATTCTCACCGGCTCCAAGAGAATAGCCTTCTGCTATTCAACCCAATCACTTGCAGTATGTGTATAATCCTAACTGTAAAGCATGACATGCTTACTGAACAGTTAAGGTTTTTTTTGTTTTGTTTTGTTTGTTTGTTTGTTTGTTTGTTTGTTTTTGGGGTGGGAAGAGGCTATACAGCACAGGTACAAGCTAAAATATTTAGAGTGAGTTGTATCTGAGGGTGGGTCGTTCCCTGACTGTCTGGCCAATCATCCATGGACAAGCAAGCCCAGCCAACCTGGAAACATCAACTGAGTGGGATCACCCAAGGAGACTTAAAATTCTGGAATCTCTCTTGATTGGCATTGACTCTATGGACGTGAGGAGAGGTAGTTCCTGCCTGGCGGGTGTTAAGGTTCCACCTGCCACAGGGTCAGAGAATGGGAGTAGGAAGATAAAGAGGCTGGACCAGAGCTCTCAGGGAGGGACGTAGGGCCTTAGAAATAAGAAAGCCATGGCAGAATCACAAGCTACATCTTGGCTTTTATTTATTTATTTATTTATTTTTTTATGCCCCTTTCTTTTCTTGTTGATGCTCTCTTGGTAGCAGCATAAAGATGTTATGAAAATTGTACCTCCTGGTGACTATGAAGCAAGGGAAAGGATATGTGTCCTTGCATGACCCAGAGCTTGAGAGGGAAGCGGTACACTCCTTGGGGACCAGTGTGGTCAAGATAACAATAAACCCGGAGAATAATGTCAGGTGGGAGGGGGAATGCAGGAAGATGGAGTAGTGGCCAACAGATTAGCTGCCCCTTCTCAGTGAAAATGCTTTCCAGAGTTGAAACCTGGAGAAGGGTTGAATTGGTCTTAACAGAGAGGATGTTAGCTATGCTGTTCTTTCCTCAGCGTGTAAAGAAGTGGTTGTTATTTCACTGGGGAAAGACCAGTCTGACATGAGGCTGCACAGGGTCTTGGCAAAAGACGCTAATTCTGCAGTCGTCCTGGCCACACCCTCTGGCCAGCCGGAGGCACCTGGCTGTGGCGTTGATGAAGGACCCCATAAGCCACATCTGGGATACCTTCCATTCGATTATCCATCATGCACATCTGCTTCCCCAGAGACCTCCACGCCTGGATGTTACATGTTTAGAGTCAACTGTGATCAGCTAGCTGGTTGATTCAGGTTGAAAAATGGGCAGGACTAAAAGCTAAGCATTCAAAAAATACATATTGGATGCATGAAGGATGACAAAGCAGGCTAGAAGGCTGAGACTACAGCGGAGGGGGAATTCTAGAAGAATGGAAAGAGAGAGAGGTTATGCCCTTGCTTGAAAGCATTCATTTACAGGGCATTCAACTGTGTTAAAAAAGGGCGTTGGTGGTGGTAAGAGAATGGGAAACATCTGGAGAACATAAAGAGACAGGAGAAAGGAGAGAAGGTTGGAAAGACATATCTAAAAAAAGTGAAAAATCAGAATAATGAAACATCATGTAGAAGGCTAGAATAGGACCAAAATGCATTAATTATCTGCGTGCCAGGTACAGTTTTCCTCATTTAAGCCTTGCCATGTCTAGCATAGGGCCTGGCCTAGAGCAGGTGTTCAAAAATAAGTCGAATATTAAATTAATAAATGAGCGAGTACTCCTCAACCTCTCCATCACATCCGATAGGAGGCTGAGGCCCAGAAAGGTTAAGAGACTTGCCCAATGTGTCACAGCCAGTAAGAAACCTAAGCAGTCTCACTTCAAAGGCCCATGGTGGAAGGAGGAGGGTGAGAGCTACAAGGATTGTTCAAGGAATCCAGCAGAAGAGGGTGTGGCGCTTGGGTAGCTCCCAGGGACGGCGAGAAGGGAAGGAAGAACCAAAGGCCAGGCGAATTGGGAAGAGGGAAGAGGGTTACTGGTCACTGGGAAAGAATTCTTCTTCTGCAAGAACGGGGCCCTGGGGGGAGGCATGAAGGCCGGTGGGTGGCGACCGAGCCAGCAAGGGGCAGCATCTAGACTCGTGCAGTGGGCACGATGGGTGGGGCGGAATGGAAGCGCAGCCTGTGCAAAACATTGCAAAGGGTCTTTGTAAGGCAGGGAGGGGTCTGAGGTAGGGCGGGATGGGGGAAAGGTGGCTGAAACGGTCAAGTGAAAGACCTGGGCAGGTTGAGGAAGAGCCATAAGAAAGATCTGAAAGAAATCAGCCTCGGGAGGGTGCCTGGGCAGGGTCTGGGGAGGGTGTGGTCTGGGTTGGGGGGGGGGGGGGGATGTGAGGCCTGCGATGTGGAGAATGAATGAGTCCTGGGTAGAGGGTAAGGCTGACCAGCCCCGTTGCATGAGCCAACATCGGGAATCTCACCTGTAGGAGCTGCCCACGGCAGTCGCCACCTCCTCGCGGATCTGCCTATTGAGGGCGTCAGCCGCCGCTCGCCCCTTGCCCGCCTCGGGGCCCGCGGCCGCGGCCTGGGCCTGGGCGGCGGCAGCGGCGGGGACGGCGGGCAGCGGCGTCTGCTCCGGGCCCAGCCCCTCGGCACGGCGCAGCATCCAGGCCGGCCCGGCCTTCTTGCGCGTGTAGCGCTCGTCCGAGCGCATCGCCTCTCCCGCCCCGACGACCACACCCGCTCCGCCGGGGGCCGCGGCCGCCCGCTCCGGGGCCTCGGCGGCCACCTGCACCGGCCGGCGCTCCTGGCTCGGGGGCCGGCGCTTGGGCGTCCCGAGGAGCCCGGGGGACGGCGCCGGGGCGGCGGCGGCGGGGACGGGCGCGGGCTTGGGGATCCACGGGTGATCGCCGCGGCGCGGCAGCGGCCAGGCGCGGAAGTCCTTCTGGTACTGCGTCTCGCGCTCGAAGGGCACGTCGGACGGCTGGTACTCGCTGCGCGGCCGGCAGCTCGGCTCGGGCCGCTGCACCTTCCAGGCGCGGTAGTCCTGCCGCATCACCGAGTCCGCGGGGCCCGCGCCGGAGGGGCCGGAGCCGGAGCCCGAGCCCGAGCCCGGGCCGGCGGGGCCCGCTCTGCTCCGGCCCGAGGCGGCCGCCGGCTCGCGCTCGCCGCTGGGCCCCGGAGCCGGTCCCGTTGCCCGGGCAACTGCATCCAGCTCGCCCTGGGCCGGCTGCGTCTCTATGGCGACCGCCGCGGGCGCCGAGGGGGGCGCGTGCACCGGCTGCACCGGCTGCACCGGCTGCGGCGGCTGCGGAGGGGCGCCCGGGTGCTCGGTGGCCTCCGAGTACTTAGTGAAGACCAGCGGCACGGCGATGTCCGCCTTGTCCAGCTGGTTCCAGAAGCGGGCGATGCAGCAGGCCCGCGTGATGCACGGCCACGCCATGCTGGTAGCTGCAAAGCGGGTCTTCCCTTCTTCTCTTTGTGGTGCGAAGGCGAGTCCCTTACTCCTTCTCCAGTCCTCTGGCCCTCCACCGGCCAATCTGATTCCCACCGGTTTGGTGTTTTTTTTCTTTTTTTTCTTTTTTTCCTGGGTAGACTGCGTGCCTCGCCCTCCGCCCTCAGAAAGCACCCGGGAAGGTAGGGGCGGCGCCGCTGTCACCGAGATCAAGTCCCTGGGTTACCGGCTGCTGCAGAGAGGCCTGGGGAGCCGCCCGCTGCAGGCACCGGCGGGGCGAGCCGCAGAGCCCCGAGTCCCCGAAGAAGGCGTCCGGACGCGCCCCTCCCTGAGGCTGCGGCGGCGGCGCGCACCCCCGGCCGAGCCCGGCGACGCGCGGCGAGGTGGCCACGGCCTTAGGCCATGGCGCAGCGGGAGGGCCGGGCACCGGGGCCGCCGCGGCCGCGGACGAGTCGTCTTTTATTCTCCTTCCAGCCGGCCACCTAGCAGGGCTGGGAGGCGGTCACCTCCAGCGAGGCTGAGCGTTGCTGACTCTGCCGCTGCTGCTGCTCCCGAAGATGCTGCTGCAGCTGCCGCCGTCGGCGTCTCTGCAGCAGGGAAGCGGCCCCACCCTTTTCAGCCTCTCAGCAGGGAAAGAAAAAAAAATCTAGGAAAGATGCTGAGAGAAAGCGCGCTGCGCTGCAGAAAAAAGAAAAAAATCACCTGCTGTCGTCAGCGCGCGCGCGGCTGGGAGCTCGTCCTCTCTCTTTCTGCTCCTCCCTCCGGCAGCTCCTCCCTCCTCCGCTGCTAGGCAACAGCAGAATCAGGCCTAGGTGGGGTCCAGCCCTAGGCTCCTGACTACTGGCTGTCCTTGTGCTGGTTGCTTCTCTTGAGGGGGAAGAGGGGAGGGGGGTTCAGGCTCCTCAGTCATGGGGCAGGGGCTGGGAGGGGGTTGAACTTTAAAAGCATGGAGGAAACCCTAATAAAATGTCTGTCCCAGGATAGACACTGGTTTTTTTCCCCCCTCTTAAATTATTATTATTGACTACAGGCCCCGTGCACGAAATCGTGAACTGGAGAAGGTGTTCCTCAGCCCAGCCTGCACCCTCTCCAATTTCGGACATCCCTCCCACAATCCAGGACTGCTGGCTCCCAACCATTCGCCTGCCTGTCAGCCTGATCACCCCCTAACCATGCCCCTGACAGCCCCATTGCCCCCAACTGCCCTCCCCTGCAGGCCTGGTCATCCCTAACTGCCCTCACCTGCTGGCCATCTTGTGACAGCCATCTTTGACTGTCTTGTGTGATAGCATGAGGGTCAATGTCCATATTACCTCTTTATTATATAGGATTATTATATAGGATTTGAGTTAGAGAGAAACATGGATTTGTTGCTCCACTTATGCATTCGTTGGTTCAGATTTGTTGTTCCACTTAGTTATGCATTCCTTGGTTCATTCCTGTATGTGCTCTGACTTGGACAGAACTGGCAACCTTGGTGTATTGGGAGGACACTCTAACCTAGGGGTGTCGAACTCAATCAGAGAAGGGGCCAAAATCTAAAATCCAGCCTAAATCGCGGGCCGAATGGTTTACTGAACAGTCATAAACTGTCATTGTGATGGAAACGCAGCGGAGTGCAGTGATGACAGCGCGGTGCGGGCCACATTGCAAGGCCTGGCGGGGCGGATTTGGCCCTCGGGCCTTGTGTTTAACACATGTGCTCTAACCAATTAAGCTACCCTGCCAAGGCCAGGATAGATACTTTTTAAAAAGGGAGCTACTGTGATTGGCCAAAGTCACCAGGCCTAATTTGAACCCATTTTGGCTGCCTCCTGATCCAAGCATTTATGCACAGGCCTGGCTCCGATGTGTGGGGATGGGGACCAACAGGCTGGTTGGTACCCTGTCTGTTCCTTTCTTTGGGGCAAGGGCTATCTTAGAGACTCCCAAGAACTACCCTGTCCCTGTCCATTCAGCCCAGGAGGAGGCAGTGAGAAGGAGATTCTAAGTGGTGAAGCTGGGGTGCAGGGGAAGCAAAGGGGCAGTGCCCTAGGAAAGCGGCGGCCTGACACGTAAGGGATTTCCGGCATGTTCCTTACACCGACTTTTGATCTTGTTCTCCCTGGGTGGGAGAGTAGATATGGGGGTCAGACAGACCTGGCTTGGCTCTGACACTTAACTACCTGTGTCACTGGGCAGGCTGGGTCATCCCTGGACCTCAGTCACCTCATGTTTGAAGTAGAGGAAGCAAGAGTTGCCTCAAAGTGATTTGTGAGGATGGTTAAGGACTCAGAGCAGAAGCTCTGAGCCAAATCGCAGCCTAGCTTTTTTGTTTCTTAGCTGCAACCTCCTGACCTTTAGTTGCCTCTACGAATGGGGTTGCTACTTATGAACATGCAAGATTATTCTAAGAATGACATTAAGAGCCCTGGTCGGTGGGGCTCAGCTGGTTGAGTGTCATCCCGTGTGCCAGGAGGTTGCTGGTTCAATTCCTGGTCGGGGCACATGCCTGTTTTGTAGGCTCTGTTCCTGGTGGGAGCATGCCAATCGATGTTTCTCTCTCATGTTGACTATCACTCCCTTTCCCTTCCTCTCTCTAAAATCAATAAAAACATATATCACAACTATACTATTCTCAATAATAAATATTTTAAAAAGCACAATAGTAAGAAAATGAGATAATGCACTAAAAGCGCTGACCACGTCTGGCATCTAGCAAAGGTTCAATAAATAGCAGCTATTAGGATTCAAAGAACCCACCGGAAATCCATAGGTGGAGCTTCCCAGGCAGGCCAGCCATCTGGACATCTGCTCTAGGAAGACCCCTTGCTCTCCCAAGTCCCTTTAGGTCTCTTCTTGATGTCCCTCCACTTATGTCTCCTACCCTGTCTTCTACTCCCTACACCTAGGTTCATTCACTAGCCTTCAGCTCTGTTTCTCTCCAATACAGGCAGAGTGTTCAGCATCATCTAAGCCAGGGACATTGGTGTTTCCGGGCAAGAAAGTTCTTTATGTGTTTAGATTGGGAACTGATTTGCAAAGCACAGCTGTTTTGCTTTCTTTTGTTTTGTTTTGTTTTGTTTTGAAACCTTGAAATCAAACAGAATGAGAAGACAATTCTGATTCGTCAATTATCTGCTAGACTTCCTCCTACTTGGGTCTTTGCCTCAGGGTAATTTGATCTGAGTTCCACAAATAAAACGATGCCTGCACTGTTGTCCAGTCGTTAGGAAACACGTTTCTATGAACAATATAATCTGGCCTGACACTTCTTAGCCCCAATTCTGCATAACTCTCCTGATACCCGCTCTATCTTGTGGGACATAGAAGGAGCTTAGCTCCTATATCACAGTAGGATGGAGGTGGGTGGGGCTCAGTTAGATGTTTTATGGGTGAATGGGGAGAACGGGACAGAATTAGAAAACAGTGTGGTGAACATAAGAAAGATTCATCACAAGGTGCTGAATTAGTGACTAATGAGAGATGAGTAGGAGCTCTCCCATCAGAAATGTAAGATTTTGGAGTCAGACAGACCTGGTTTGGCTCTGACACTCTCTGTGTCACTTCTTTTCTGAAAGATGGACGTGGGTTAGAGGGGAATCGCCCTTGACACCAGGCAGGGACAAGCTTGAAGAGAGAAGCTGCGAGCTAAGGATTGTGATGGGACAGACAAAGAATCTGGAGCGTGAATGACCTTGTGGGCTGCGGCACCAATCTAACTCTGGACACTTTTGTTTATTTCTCATTTAATTCTTTTCCTTTTTTTGTTTCTAGAATTCTTCTTATGAGAGAAAAGAAACCCATTTCTGTTTAGGACACTTCCATAATGTGCATATCAGAATGCAAACCCTAATTAATATTGATAAGGATGCAATTTTTTTTCATATAAATAGCCAATTCTTTAAGTATGGTTATTTAGCTAGTCTGTCCTTGCCTCGCTGACAATGCCTCCTCTAGTATATAACAAGTTTTCATATTTATGTGGATCTGTTTCTAATATTTTTTGTAAGAGAATTTTTTTTTTTTTTTTTTTTTTTTGGTAAATCATAGAAGTAGAAAAAGTAATTCCTTAAAGAAATGGGCTTAGGAAACAAGTTCTAGAGGTAAAGGAAGGGCTCCTGGAGCTTGGGAGTGAGGAAGCTAATGGTAACAGGCCTGGGGCAGGGAGCAGAGGGAGAGGGAGAGGGAGAGGGAGAGGGAGAGACATGCTCCAGGGAGAGGGCACTTGGTCCTCCATCCTAGGGTTTCAAGGGTGGAGATTTTAGAGGAGGTTCCAGGAGAAGATTTCAATATTCAGCAGCTTTCCAGGTGTGTACTTTCAGGGTTGTGGTCTCTACTGATTGATTGGCCAGCACCAGGGCAGGGGGTCATTCAATGCAACTGGTCCTGAGGTCAACCATGGGGCCACTGACTTGGTTTTGTTGCTTTTCTGGACCTGGAGCTGAGATACATCTGAGGCACAGATGTTATCTCTAGGTGTTTGTAAATTTTATATTCAGTTTTATTGGTTACTAACCCCTGAGTCTATCTTATAGACTAAAATTATTGTAGAACTTAATATTTGATAGGGTAAAACACTCCTCCATCTCTCCTTCTTCTTCTTCTTCTTCTTCTTCTTCTTCTTCTTCTTCTTCTTCTTCTTCTTCTTCTTTTTATCTCTCCTCTCTTAATTTCAGAGAGGAAGGGAGAAGGAGAGAGATATAGAAGCATCAATGATGAGAGAGAATCACTGATTGGCTGCCTCCTGCGTGCTCCCTACTGGGGATCGAGCCCGAAATTCTGGCATGTGCCCTTGACCAGAATCAAACCTGGAACCCTCCAGTTCGCAGACTAATGCTCTATCCACTGAGCCAAACCAGCTAGGATCCTCCTTCTCTTCTTATCCTTCCTCTTCTAAGTTGTCATTCATTTGTGTTCACAAGTATTTTTTGAGCACCTACTAGGTGCCGGGCACTGTTCCAGGCTCTGAGACATGGGATTAAACAAAATAGACAAACATCTTTGCTCTCACAGCGCTTATACTGCATTGGAAGTCTTGTCCTTAATTCTTCCATACTAATCTGAGGATCAGCTTGTCAAATTATCTGAAAACCTTTCGTAAAATGTTTTATGGGATTGCATTGAATTTATTAAATATTTAAGAAGAATTTCCACTTTGTGATTTTGGGACTTTCTACTCATAAAGATGGCAAAGCTTTCTGTTTATTCAGTTCTTTGTGTTCTTGTGTGATGATTTTTGTTGTGATTGGAAATGGCATTTTCTTTTCTTTTTTTAATCCTCACCTGAGGATATGTTTTTATTAATTTTAGAGAGAGAGGGAAGGAGAGAGAGAGGGAAAGAGAGAGAGAGAGAGAGAGAGAGAGAGAGAGAGAGAGAGAGAGAGAGAGGAATTTCAATATGAGAGAGAAACATTGATTGGCTGCCTCCTATACAAACCTGCACTGGGGATAGAACCTGTAACCTTTCGGTGTACAGGACCATACCCCAACAGACTGAACCACCCAGCCAAGATTTAAATATCTTTTATTGTGATTACAAACAACAGGATTGTTGAATTTTTGCATGTCTTGGTCTCTATTCAGTAACCATACTAAACTCTCTAATTAGATTTAATAGTGTAGCCTTAGCCGATTTGGCTCAGTGGATAGAGCATCAGCCTTCAGACTCAAGAGTCCCAGGATGAATTCCGGTCAAGGGCATGTACCGTGG